GCCATCTTCTACTGCTCTCCCAGGCCATAGCAGAGAGCTGGATTGGAAGTGGAGCAGCCAGGACTCGAACCGGCACCCATATGGGATGCTGGCACTGCAGGCGTTGGCTTTACCCACTGTGCTACCGGCCTGGCCCCAAGCTCACAGTCTTAACAGTTAGGCATGTGAGAAAGGCATAAAGATGTATTAACATAAGGTAGAGGCTACTACTAAGTTTAGTTCATCATTGTGTATTCATTTAACTGGAAGTGAGAGATAAGTATCTCTTTTTTTCAAATATATAACATGGAGGGGATTTTCCTCTTTATACCTAGCTGCTAAAGTTCATATTTTTGTAGCTTTCTGTAAAATATAGTTCACCAAAAAGTTAGTATAGACTCACAGAGGGTCCTTCCTTTAGAAGAATTTATTTGATTAGGATTCTTCAAACAAGAAGATATAGAAGAAGTATCTCAGGGCCGGCGCTTTGGCGCAGTGGGTTAATGCCCTGGCCTGAAACACCAGCATCCCGTATGGGCACTGGTTCTAGTCCCAGATGCTCCTGTTCCCATCCAGCTCTCTGCTGTGGCCTGGGAGAGCAGTGGAAGATGGCCCAAGTCCTTGAGCCTCTGCACCCACATGGGAGACCTGGAAGAAGCTCCTGGCTCCTGGCTCCTGGCTTTGGATTGGCGCAGCTCCGGCTGTTGCGGCCATCTGGGGAGTGAACCAGCGGTTGGAAGACCTCTTTCTCTCTCTCTGTCTCTATCTCTCTCTGTAACTCTGTCTTTCAAATAAATAAGACAAATCTTTAAAAAAAAAAAGTATCTTGTGGCAATAGTGGGTTAAAGCCATGATCTACAGTGCCGGCATCTCATATAGGCGCCAGTTCAAGTCCCAGCTGATCCACTTCTGATCCAGCTCCCTGCTAATGTGCCTGGGAAAGCAGGGGAAGGTGGCCCATGTGCTTGGGTCTCAGCACCCAAGTGGGAGACCAGAAGAAGCTCCTGGCTCCTGGATTCAGCCTGGCCCAGTCTTGATCATTGGGGCCATTTGGGGAGTGAACCAGTGGATGGAAGACCTGTCTCTCTCTCTCTCTCTCTGCCTCTCCTTCTCTCTCTGTATAATTCTGCTTTTGAAATAAATAAATCTTTAAAAAAAAAGAAGTACTTTTTTTCCAAATACATAACAGGGAGGGATTTTCATCTTTATGTCTCCCTGCTAAAGTTCATAAATTTGTAAGGTAAGAAGTATCTCATCTCAGATTCACAGTAACTCCCCTAAGACAAATGCCTCTATAATCATACATTCCATCTTTTTCTTTTATATCCTCTCATTCTTAATGATAGATTAATAAGGACTAAGGGCCATTCTGGTTTTGAAAATGAAATAGTATAATTTCATTGTGAAGCAGATGGAATAGTAAGAGTCAGGACCAGAATTAATTTGACTCTGTGGATACATGAGAGAGAACAGGAAAGAATGTCCCAGAATCCACTTCTTAATGACAAAGCTGCATCCTGCAACTGATTCTGATTCTGAAATGGATACATATTATGCTAATTTTAAAAACTAAATGAATGGATATTAATATAAGGCATTAAAATTAGGTTCCTTTGCCCTCTCTTCCAAGCTGAAATTTGCTAATCAATTTTTCATGCTTAACAGTCCTACCCCTTCATGGGGAATCACCAAGATTGATTTCTAAGTAACTAAAAAATGTTTCCTATCTTTATCGTTGAGTAATATGCATTAACTGGATCATGGGGAATATGACTTTGGAATACATATTTTAAAAGACAGGACTTATCCTTAAGGAAATTAGGTATGTTATCAGTAAATATGGTAAAATAACAAAAGTACATGGACTAGAAGAGTAGGCCTTGGGTTGTACCAAAGTATTGAAAAATATGCCATGGGCTGGCATGTGGTGTAGTAGGCTAAGCCTCTGTCTGCGGCACCAACATCCCATAGGGCGCCGTTCGTGTCCCAGCTGCTCCACTTCCGATCTAGCTCTCTGCTTATGGCTTTGGAATGCAGCGGAAGAGGGCCCAAGTGCTTGGATCCCTGTACCTACGTTAGGAGACCCAGAAGAAACTCTTGGCTCCTGGCTTCGGATCAGTCCCCCTCTGTTTGGGGAGTGAACCAGCAAATGGAAGACCTTTCTCTCTGTCTCTCAGGGAGAGGGAGAGGGAGAGAGAGAGAGAGAGAGAGAGAGAGAGAGAGAAGGTCATGAGCCAAGAACACAGTCAGCCCTTTGAAAGAAACTTCAAGCTGTTAAAATAAAATGCCAATTTAACTTGGTATTGCAATGGAATAAAGGATGTGAGAGGGTTTGAACAATGACTTGGAGGCAGAAGACTGATGAACAGGCTCTGGAATTTACTGGCAACTGCTATACAGCAACCCATCTGAGTTTGCCACACCTACTGGAATAGGCAGAAATTATTATTGTTTGGGTAGATTAACAGAATGTGCATCTCCAGATAGTAAGCTGGGTGCATGATAGTGTCTTCCAGTTTAGAAGTCCAGTCTGTAACACGTTGGTGAGAACCCCATTAACATCCATTCACCTGCTTTCTTGTTTATACTAGTGTCTGTGCTAACGTTAGCTCTCCAGAAAGACTTAAGTAAACTCCAGTCCCTTCCATTCCTGGGAAACTACTACCTACTCCCATAGGACTTGGACCAAGATAACAAACGCAGTTAACTTTTTTTTCCAGTTTTATCTTTTGGATGGCATTGAGAGTAACCATATCTCTGATTTAGCCTCAAGTTCCATATTGAATTTTTTTAAATTGCTTTTTTGAGCAATAACTTTTCCTTGGTTGTTTAACCATACAAGTTGAGATTTCTGTCTCTATGCCTCTTTTATAATAGCTGCTTTGGGAGAACAGATGAAAAATAATAAGTCAGTTAGATATTTTATGAGTATTGAAATCCCTTCCATTCAGAAATGTAAATAAAATAACCAGCATGAGCAATCAGCTTATGTCAGATTCCATGGGTTTATGTTACATAGGGAAATTATAGTGCAACCTGAAACATGCTTCTTAATGACTACGTAGTGGTGTCACAGATGAATGTAAAGCCCTTGAGCTTTTCTTTTGTGAAGGGTCTCTGAAATCACCTTCTATAAGCTGCCTAGTCAGGGGAGAGAAACTAAGATGATACCAACAAATGCCATCACTGTTAAGTGGCTCCTTACCTTCTAACATCAAATTGTGCCAGCCGAGTAAAGCAGAAAGCTGGGACGCTGCTCACCTAATGGCTTCTTCGGTGTGCACTGAACATCCACGCTCAGCACCATCCTGGGTCAGACCACAATCCCGTGTGTATTTTGTTTCTGAAAGTGGCACCAAGAAACTGCTGTGGGAAACAGGGTTGCTCTTGTGGTTTCTGTTCTTAGAAGTTAGGGAAGTTCAGTTAAGGCATATGATAAAAGCCAGGTACGTAGCTGTTTTTACCTTCAGCAAATGCAAAAAACCAAAGACCTTACTGGTGATCATGAAATCAGGAGTTGCCTCCTGTCTTTGACTGCCGCTCCAGCACCCTGTGGCACATTAAAATTATCTCCTTGTGTGTTAGTGACTGGCACTGAAGCTCTAAAAGCTCTTTTGCAGTCCTCCTATTTACCATGGCCCTAGAGACGGTAAGTCTGCTAGCCACTAAAGTACAATATACCAAATGGGATATAAGTAATCAGGCAAGTTTTAAGATTGGGAGTGAGGGAAAGAAACATGCATTTTCTATTTTAGATTATTCCTTTTTATGTTGTAGATTTTTTTTGGTTTTGAAATATTTATTTATTTGAAAGAGTTACACAGAGAGAGGGAGAGACAGAGATCTTCCATTCTCTGGTTCACTCCCCAAATGGCACCAATGGCCAGGGCTGGAACAGGCTGAAGCCAGGAGCCAGGAGCTTCTTCTGGGTCTCCCGCATGGGTGCAGGGGCCCAAGCACTTCTGCTGCTTTCCCGGGTGCATTAACAGGGAGCTTGATCAGAAGTGGAGCACTGGTCCAAAACATTGTAATTTTTTTTTTTTTTAAGATTTTATTTATTTGAGAGGTAGAGTTACCGAGAGAGGGACAGACAGAGAGAAAGGTCTTTCATCCACTGGTTCACTCCCCAAATGGCTGCAACAGCCAGAGCTGGACTGATCTGAAGCCAGGAGCAGGGACCCTCTTCTGGGTCTCCCACACGAGTGCAGGGGCCCAAGTATTTGGGCCATCTTCTGCTTTCCCATGCCATAGCAGAGAGCTAATCAGAAATGGAGCAGCCAGTACTCAAACTGGTGCCCATATGGGATGCTGGCACTGCAAGCAGTGGCTTTATCCGCTATGCCATAGCGCCAGCCCTACATTGTAATTTCTCAAAGCTTGACTCCATTAATGCCAGCTCTGGGCCTGTAGGCCTAAATTAATGTGTCACAGTCTGGATAGGATATTTGATATCTCTTATTTAGCCCAAAATATGAAATAAAGAGTTGTACTTAATGACACATAGCATTTTGCTGGGCTGTGCAGTATTGATCTTTCACTCCCTGTATCTGTAACAAATGGACTCATCCTTGTGCTTTCTCCTAAGTGCCCTTGTGTTTACTGACATCAATCAGGATGCTGTGTGGTTCTAAAGGGACTCTGAACCACTTGACACTCTCTGTACAGTTACCTCCCACTATTTAAGCCATGATCTCAGAATTCTAACTTCTTTCTATTCCCCAGTGTATATAATGTGTACTTACTTGAATTTCTTTATATATTTATTGCTTGTACATTCTTATTTCTAAGATTCAGCACATACCAGTTTCCTCTGTTTAGAATGCTTTCCCCTGACTGCCCTCAACAAGTTCACGCCTTATCTTTTCAGAGTGCAGCTCACAAGTCACCTCCTAGAGAAGACCATCTGTCATCTCATTCTGAGAAGTCACTCTGAGACTTCTGTTTCCCAAACTGTTTAGTTTCATTGTAGTTGTTGTTTCTATAAATTGTCACCCAACACACATCAATGACTCTAGGAATGATGCTCTTCCATCCTCTTGTCTTTATTTATTAGACACAAACAATTGAAAGGCCTACTGATGACCTTTTCAGTTTCCCCAGAGTTCTAATCCACCTTCCATTGCCTTTCCCTTTACTTCATAGTTGCATTCCTAAGGAAACGGGGCATGTGTTCAGGGCTTGGCCTCCACCTCAGCATGTGTGTGGCAGCCTGCTGGCCAGGTCCCTACAACTGAGAAGGACTTAACCCTTTGCTTTGACAGTCTCTGCACTCTACTCAGACACTTCTGAGAAGCAGACGTGTCCAGTAGACCTGAAGATGGGTGTAGGGAAATTTCCACTGAAAACCAAGTTGGCTTTTCCTTCCTTTTTGCACGAGACCTATGAAGCTGCTGTCGTCAGCAGCTCACCCGACACTCTCTTGCTCTGCCTCTTTTCCAGAAGTCAGGGTTAGTTTAAGAAAAAGCCTCTTGCTAGAAGCCATGACCTCGTACTTTTATCCCCTCCATCTGGTGTGCGGCCTCATGGGGCTGTGCTGCTATGCAGGAGGTGAGCAATGGAATTCTTTAGATGATGACTTCTGAGCCCACATGCGGAGGCAGTGGGGGTGGGAAGCAGGGAGAGCAGTGAGAGCCAAGATCGATGGACCAAAAAGTAAGGTTTGCTCTGGGAGAAACCTTGACTGTAGGTACACTGTTTTCATGAGGTGTTCTTCCCCTCACTCAAGTTGGGGCCCCAGTCAGGGCGCTGTAACATCCCAGGTCTGTGATTGATGTACATTCTGTTCCTGCAGTTTTCCCTTCTGCCTTCACAGTTGGGGTGCAGGAGTGGGATAGGTAGGGTATGCAAGAGCTTATGCTGTCTCTAACAAAACACATTCCAGGATTGAACAGGGAAGGGTTCCCCTTGCACACATCAGCTTTTGGAGCTGCTTTTTCTCACTGTCTTGCACCTAAATAGAGGTCCGGATTTTGAATGAGGGTGGGAGGAGGGGTTAAGAGCAGCACAAGTTTTTGATCAAGTGAAAATCTGTTGTTTGCCTCATCTCACTGAGTTTCCCTACAAGGTAGATACCCTTTGCCTTGGTGTAGATGAATTACTGGTCTCAGCCAGTGGCCACATGATCAGGCCAAGAGTAGATGCCTTGCTTGGAAAAGGACAATTTCTTAGCACTCTTTTCTCTGTTCTTACATTCTCAAGCCTTGGGTTGACATCAGTTTTTTAAAAGAATGAAGTCTCAGAGGAAATTCTAAAATATACCTTAAAAGCCCAATGCCTTAATAATTTCCTTTCACGTCCTCTTATTACTACTATTCTGTCTACACATTTAGCATCACTTTAAAAGAACTAGATAAAGTTAAAACAAAATTTGAATGTTAGTCTGAAGGCCAGGTGCTGGGGAGGGGAAGCAGAAAGATTTCTGTTGGAGCCAGAGTTGTTGAAATGTAGATCACCTTCTGTAGTGATCTCTTGGCGTAGTGGTGATTGTGCCAGAAATGACAAAAAGGGAATTTATTGATGAGGTCCAGGAAGACCTAGACTCTTCCTTTGTAAACAGCTTAGATGTTCCCTCCTGGTGGTGCTAGGACTCCTACAGGGCTCGAATATTACATAACATTTGTATTCTGGAGGCGCTAAGACTGTGGCACCCCCAACCCTGGGCACCCTTAGGCTTTGAGGAGGAGACAGGAGATGTGAAGTCCGAGACCTAGGTTTGAGTTAGACTGGGCCACCCACTGTCCATGTGACTTTGGACAGACCACTGAACCTCTTTAAACAGCATCTGTAAAATGAGGGTAACCCCTAGCTCACAGGGTTGTTGTGAGGATCACATATAAGCATAAGTGTTTTGTAAATTAAAAAAAAAAAAGCTCTTTATGAACATTATTGTTATCCTTGAGGGAAGCCCCACCTTGAAAGCTGTCAGATAGGACAACTGGGATGGAGCTTGTTTTTCCTCTTTCTTCACTCAGCCTAGCTTTTCGCTTTGCTCAGGACTGCTTCTAGGGCTCAGTGGTGTGAAGCTGAGTCATCAGATTTTTGCCTCCTTTGGCCAAGGAGAAAGAACTCCCGTGTCCCAGTGCTCCATCCATGGATTTGTGGGCAGAATGGAAGTGAGAAAAGGCAATTTTAAAGCCACGATAGCTCTGAGTTGGAGGGCCCAGGGGAGAATGCTTATCTTGCATTCTCAGATCCAGAATGACTGAAAACATCTTAAGTAAATGAACAATAGCCACAAAGATGCTCAGAGATAATTTAAGCCATGACTGGGAAGTGGGGAAATGAACTTCTGAACTCTCTCTCTCTCCTTTCCCTTTTAACTTTGGGATCAGGGACAGGCATCTGAGTATTACTGACACCCCACTGGCTATTGCTGGAAACCTGCTGAGCACCCAAGGAGAATACCAGCTCCTGGGAAAGCTTAGTTCCACACATTAACTCCGACATATATACCCTAGCAAAGCAGCTGGCTGGTCTTTTCCATTGCCTCTCGTTTATGGAGATTATGCCTGAAGTCCACAGCTATCCCAATGAGTCAGAGCCCAACAACAGTTACAGGTCACAAGCAGTAGGCTCGGCAGTCATCCCTCATGCAGTCATGAGATGGTCCTGTCATTTACAGTACACGGGGTGTGCATCTGTCTCCAGCATGAAGCAGCCTTGACAGGTTGTACAGTCTCAGCCACTCTGCTTAGGTGATCCTTCTCCACCACAAATCTCTTCTCTCCATGTCCTCTGTCCATCCTTCCCCTGCCACCTCCAGCTGCCTGCATGAGATGTGACTTTGTAATGTCCCTTGGTTATAGCAAGATCCTGTTGGTATGACTTTTGAAATATCGATTGAAATCTAGTGGCTTTTTTATTGTTGGGGAGAGTATACCTACCAGTCCCCTGCAGCTGAGGGTGGTTCCATGTGTGGACATCATACGTGTACCTCATGCATATATCCTCATGGCTGTGCCTGGGCTGACAGGGAGGGCAGAGTGAAAAGGAAGCACCTCTGTCTTGCTTTCCAACGTTGCTCAGAGATGCCCAACCCCCGTAGTAGCAGGCAGTTTCCAAGGGGAGGGTGGGGGCAGAGGCCTCCACCAAGGCCATCAATAACCAGGTGTGAGCTACAGGTCTCTGTGTAATGTGAAGCTCTCCCGTATTTCATTTCTGCACCCAGGGGGCGGCTCTGCAGGATTGCTTACGGAGAGCTCTGTGTCTGGCACCTCTCTCCACAAGGCCCAGGCGCCCAGGGTCCCACCGACCTGCCCAGGAATGCATCGCATTGTTCTCTGGTGCTGTAATTTGGCTACAGGAGCTAGGCTGAATACCTCCCAGGGATGAGAAACATACGCTCCCTGGCGTCCTCCCTTTTCCTCAGCTAACTTGGGCTTCTGCCCTCTGACCACTAGAGCATTTAAATAATAACTTCAGAAAGGCTGAAGAAAAAAAAAATCTTGATTATCTCTCTTCTGTTAAACCATGTAGAAACTTATGTCCTGAGTGGGTCTGAGAATTTGGCAGAAGGACTTAGTGGTGGGTGTTCTTGATAAGGGAAGTGAGAGAAAGGGGAAGAAATTACTCTGCAATGGGGAGGATAGAAACGAGGCTGTGTGTAGTCAGTTAGACTTGCACGCTTTGCAGACAGACCCTTGGGGCCGGGCAATGGCAGATTCCTCTAATTAATCTGAAGTCCCTGATTTCATTTTTCCAGCATCACTATGAGAAAGAGTGTGGCTTAGTGCCATTATTCAGGGCTAGTAATAAGAAAAGCTGGCTCTTCCCTGCAGGGCTAGGTTAAGGCTGGCATTCTTTTACATAACAGAAACTGGCTACAGGCTGAGCAGCTGAGGCACTTGGGTCATGTGCCTTCTCTCAAAGATTCTCAGGTCCTTAAAGGACAGAGATAGTATCTTTTAATTTAACTTTGCATCCAAATAACACTTACTGCAATGCATTATACCTACATACTTATGAAAAGTTAAAAGAAATGAAGATCAACAGAAAGAAGTGGAAGAGAGGCTGAGACACTCCTGATCTGAGGAACAGCCTCCGTCAAACACGGGAGGGCTGGCACAGGGGGCCAGTAGAGGCAGCGTGAAGGAGTAGCAGCAGAACTAACGCAGTCCTGACTGCACCAAATAAAGTTCTCATCTTGCCACTTGTTCCAAATAAATCAGTCTCTGTAGGAAAGAAAGGACGCCAGTTGTCTAAAGCCAATTGGAATGCAGAGGCAAGCTAAGCACTAAGAGGACAAATTAATTGCTTGGCCATCATTCCTTCTTGGGGTCTCCCAGCCTCTGGAGTAGACTAGGCTCAGACAGACACCTCTTCTCTCACTTCTTCACCTCACTTTTCAAACTTCTCTTTCTCTGGACAGTCTTACACACGGCTGCTCCTAACCATTCATGGGAAATTACACAACTTGCCTGTTTATGAGCTAGAGTAACTGTAGCCCTGGAAAACAGAGAGAGCAGTCCGAGATGCCATAAGAGGCCTACCCATTTCCTTCTACAGGGTGAGAGCCAACAAAGAAGAGATACTAAGGCACAGGTAGATTTAACTTGGGTTGACTTCCCGTGGGTGCCTTGTGCCATCATTTACATGGCAGCCTAGATGTTCCTGTGAGAGCAGGGGCTGGCTGGGGTCTGAGGCTCTTCCCCACAGCCAGGCCTACAGGGCAGCACCCTTCTGTAAATTCACTCATCCCTGTTCTTAAGTTCAGACTGACCATGATGCTCTTACTCCCCCTACCCCACTTTTCTCTTTTTCATCCTGGCCCAACATGTCCAAGCTCTTCAGTTTCCCTCCCGTTTCCCCCTCCCTAATCTCACCATTGGCTCATCAGTTATCCAGTTGACTCTACTCTGCAAGGAAGACATTCCCTTGGCCTGACTCACTCAGTCCCATTTCTCCACAGGCATACCCTCACCGCAGACCACAAGGGCTCTGACTAGCTCATGTTTTGTGTTAATGGATGTGAAACCAGAGCAAATCCCCTCACCAGAAGAAAAACCACCCTAAACTCTCCCACACAGGTCTCAGCAGGTTATACAAATATTAGTCCTATCATCTAAATAAATCTGCCCCCATGGCCCAGAGCTGACTCCCCCAGCCTCCTGCTGCCTGTGCAGTGACGCTACTCCACAGACCCCAAGCAATGTTGGAGAGGATCTTGGGAGAGGATTCCCTTGGGCAGGCTCCTTAATCTCAGTGAGCTATCAATGCTAATTAGACAGTTCCTTGAGAAGTCGTGATGGGCTGGACCAGTCAGGGGCTTTCAGGAAGAGTATCTGTTGGCTGAAAAGTGGGGCAAAATGAAAACTCAGTATCTGAGATAGGTATCCACCCTCATTTTACAGATGGAAAAACAGAGGCTTGGAGAATTTAAGTATCTTGCTTAAAATATCAAAAACTGTGTGGCACAGCTGTGATTTTAACCCAGTTCTGTCATAACTACCGTTTTCTATACCACCCTGCAAGAGATAACCACTGTCCAAACACATCACGTCCTACCCTCCAGCTTACTAAATTGCTATCTCTAGAGACTCCACTCCTGCAAACTTATTTAGACAACAGGTCATAGCACAGGAGGAACCCATCCCTATGTAAGCCAGTCAGGGGGCAAACAATAATAATCACAAGGACTTGCAGAGTAAATGGAAGAAGGCTGTTGCCTTTGAACCTGTCTACCACTTCAGCCCCAAGTCCCAGCTCCTCTTCTTCTTCTTTTTTTTTTTTTTCCTTTTTTTTTTTTCCAGCTCCTCTTCTGCAGATAGCCATTGAATCCTGCTCCCAGCTTTAAAGTCTAGGATCCTCTCCTAAAAAATTATCAACGCCAGAGATCCCTGCCTACCTAGGTACACTGGTGCCTCTGTGGGCACTTGAGATCAGGCTTGTCTAGCCTCTCCCACCCTCCATGAATTGTCTATCTATTACCTAGTGTTTCCCAAACCTAGCTAACCTCTAGAATAATGTATGAAGACAAAAACCCCATGGTCTAGCCAGCCTTGCTAAATTACTCTCTCCCAGAAGTGTTCCAGGGTCTTCTCATGATCTGTTGGGCATGGGAACAGCTGCAGGCCACCTCAGTTTGAGGCAGAAAGTAAACAAAAGAAGCCATGCTGTCTGATACAGGTGGAAAAGGGCAGAGGGACAGCATATGAATATGAAGCTGTTTATATAGTTATATGATTTTTCCCCCTACAAAACACAGTGGTTTATAAACATGAGCATGTGAGTGGAACCTTGTCCACTATGGTTAACTTGTTGAGCATTCCCAGGCTGTCAATAACAGAGGAAGGTTGTAGCCTAGAATTTTTTTTTTTTTTTGGGGGGGGGGGGGGTTACCAGGCAATCTGCTCAAACTGTCTCCAGGGAAGGGTTATGCAGTTTCATCTCTGTCCCATCTACCCTCAGCCAGGTAGGAACAAAAAGAAGCTTTCTCCAGTTACCTTTCCTTTTGCACACCTAAGAAGTGTTAGGAAGCTGGTACAAAGGAAAGAAAAATGAGCCCCAACCAGGTACTTTAGTGCAATTCATATCACTCTGAAGACCCCCTACCTCTTCTACTCTCCTTCCAGACGGGGATACCAGGGAGCCACTCAGTTTCTTATATCTCCTATCAACTCCTTCCCAGGGCTAAGGAACCAACCAGGACACCATGGTCCTGCTGGATTACTCTCGGTCTTTAAATAGAAGCTGTAGCAGCCCAGGGTTGAGGGTGGAAGGAAGGTGTGCATGCAAAGATCTTGTGCTTTTGAGTTGAGAGACTTGAAACGGAGAGCCGAGTGAGCTGTCTGTGTTCAGGTCTGGTCTAGCCACTCTGCCTTCTTGGGGGCCTTGCAAGTATGGACGTCCACAGTGTTTCTGCATTCCTTGCAGCGCACCGCACAGCACCAGTGGAATTTGCACTCACACTGGGTGACACGGGTAACTCGAGTCGTGTCGTACCCACGGCCACAGCACATGATTTCACAGCCGTCCGTTCCTTTCGATGTCTTGCTGCAGACACGGCCAGCAGTGCCTAGGGAACCTGGGAGGGAGAGAACGAGTGATAACCAAGTTACTCCTTACCTCAGATCTGTCGGCACCCTCACCCGCATTCTCAGGAGGAAGCCGTAATTCTTTGTTATGAAAATACACCCACTAGCCTAAATGATCATCTCCTGATTGCACTCTGTACCAAGTTCATTTCTTCTCACGATAAAGGATCCCTCAAGGCCACTGACTTCACCTGCAGTTTTCTCCCTTCCAGTAAAGATTCCCATATTCTCTTCAAAATCTAACCTTAAAATGTTTATAATTGTTAGAGCTGGGTGAGGGTCTCTACTTTATGTTTGAAATTTCCATAATAAAAAGTTAAAACAAGTAAAATAACTTAATCTGTAATTTATCTTTTCTAAAGAGCCTTGCCATAACACTGAACCTTCTACCATTTGCTAGTATTTTGGCCTTTCATTTTTATTAAATTATAAACCAAACTATATAGGAAAGCAGTATAACATGGCTGTTAAAAGCTTTGGGAGCCAGTATTATGGTACAGTGGGTTAAACCACCACTTGTGACACTAATATCTCACATCAGAGCACTGGTTCAAATCCTGGCTGCTCCACTTCTGATCTAGCTTCCTGCTGATGCAACTGGGAAGGCAGTAGAAGATGACCCAGGCACCTGGGTCCCTGCCATCCACGTTGGACACCCACATGGATTTCTGGGCTCCTGGCTTTGGCCTGGCCCAGACCTGGCTATTGCAGCCATTTGCAGATGGAAGATCAAGCTTGCTCACTCTTACCTGCTCACTGTCTCTATGCCTTTCAAATGAATAAATTTTTTTTTTTTTTTAAAGAGCCCTCATATCAGACTGACTGGGTTCAAATCTCAGACTGTCCCTTCTCAGTTGTATTATTTAGCAAGTTAATGTCTCTGGGCCTTAGTTTTCATGTGAAAATGGACATTATAATAGCATCTAACTTGGCAGGTTCTTATATCTATAATTTCTGACCAACTGAGGAGGTAGATTGACTGGCTTGAGGCATATCTTTAAGGAATTTCTTTTTTTAAAAAAGTATTTATAATTTGAAAGGCAGAGCGATAGTGATCTTCCATCTGCTGGTTCACTCCTCAAATGCCCACAACAGCCAAGGTTAGATCAGGCCAAGGCCAGGAGCTAGGAAATCTATCCAGGTTTCCCACGTGGGCAGCAGGTATCCCCAACTACTTGGGGCCATCAACTGCTGCCTCCCGGGCACACTGGCAGGAAGCTGGATCAGAAGTGAGGAGCGACTGGGACTAGAACTAGGCACTCCATCTGACATGAGATGCGGGGGCTGAACCCACTGTTGGGCTCACCGCCCACCACTCTAAGGAGTTTCTAAGGAACATCCCTTGTATTATCCCATTATAGTGGGAACTCTTGAAGGGAAGGGTTGACGTTTGCCCATGTATAGAGAATGCTCAGAGCCTCATTCTAACAGATGTTAGCAAAAGAGGTCCTGCCAACAAATAGTAAGATCATTGAATTCTGGATTAGTCAGACCCTAGAGGGTACCTACTCCAACCCTTTTCCAAATCAATAGGGACCCAGATTTGAGAAAGTGACTGTTGGGGAGAGTGGGGGGGTCTAGGAAGAAGAGATCAATTGGTTTCTGTAGCAGTAGTCTCCACATTTCGCTGGGATAAGGGAATAAAATACTGGAACTTCTATATTTGTTTTTTTATCTTGTTAAATTACCTATTTTGTATGTATGTTTTATATATATTAGTATTGTGGAACATAGACATAAATATATATGTATACATATGCATACATATATGTATATAATGGAGGTATATGTTCCAATTTTTTTAATAATAGGAGTATACAATCTAAAATGTTAGTAGACCACTGCTCTAGAGTGTGGGGTGACCAAGTCTACTAAGTATGTTATTCTCCTAACACCAAGAACTTAAGTCTTCTGGTGTACCAAGAACCTTTCTATACTTTTGAACTTGTTATTCAGGGTAGTAGCCACTATCTACATGGAGTCTTTTAAATTTAAATTAATAAAAATTAAATAAACGAAAATATGTAGTTCCTCGGTTGCACTAGCTATGCTGTAGTCCACACCTTATCTTTTGTTTTGCTTTCTACAGTTTAAGTTACTCATTGTCATGGGAAAATTCCAAAAATAAATAATCATAAATTTTAAATAATTTTTGTGATATTGTTAAAGCTATTCTACCTTATTATTAGTCATTATTGTTAATCTCTTAGTGTGCTTCATTTATAAAATAAGTTTTACAATAGGTATGTATGTATAGCAAAAAACACAGTATTTGGGGTTTAGTACCAGGCAGTTTAGGGCTCTGGAACATATCCCCAGACAAAGGGGATGCTGTACTTCTGGTGCTCAACAATCACATGTGGCTAGTTGCTACCATGTACCAGGGAACATTTCTATCAATACAAAAAGTTCAGATGGACAGTACTGCTTTAGAGGGAATTCCTGGCTCCACACTCCCTTTTAGGATTACTTTTACACCTTTAATTCCAGGTCCCACTTTGGGGTTTTTATTTGTTTGTTTTTTTTTTAAGATTTATTTACTGGGGCCAGTGCTGTAGCATAGTGGGCTAAGCCTCTGCCTGCAGCGCCGGTATCCCATTTGGGCACTGGTTCATGTCCCAGCTGCTCCTCTTCTGATCCAGCTCTCTGCTATGGCCTGGGAAAGCAGTAGAAGATGGCCCAAGTGCTTGGACCTCTGCACCTGCACGGGGGACTTGGAAGAAGCTCCTGGCTCCTGGCTTCATATCAGCCCAGCTCTGGCCATTGAGGCCATCTGGGGAGAACCAGTAGATGGAAGACCTCTCTCTCTCTTTCTCTCCCTCTGTCTGTAGCTCTATTTTTAAAAAAGATTTATTTATTTATTTATTTGAAAGGCAGAGTTACAGAGAGGGAGAGGCAGAAGCAGAGACAGAGAGAAAGATCCTCCATCTGCTGGTTCACTTCCCAAATGACCACGACAGCCAGGTCTGGACCAGGCCAGAGCCAGGAGCTCCATCTGGGTCTCCCACATGGGTGCAGGGGCCCAAGCACTTCATACATCTTCCGCTGCCCTCACAGGTACACAACCAGCAGCAAGCTGGACTGGAAGTGGAGGATCTAGGACTAGAACCAGCTCCCATATGGGATACCTGGGCCTCCTGTTACATCACAGTGCCACCCCCCACTCTGAGTTTTATGAGACCTAATTTTATGCCTCAGAAAAATTAACACACATGACTTAACCTCCAACTCCAAAGATCCTTCCCTAGGTATGGTAGCATAAGCTTACAGCTCAGATGCAATGGAATTATTTCCAGGCACCCAGAAACTAAGCCTCTGAATTAGAGGGTTTTTCTGGCTGGAAATCCCTAGCGGAGTCACAGAAGTTCCCCTAATTTTTTTTCTTCTAGCACCTGTGTGTGTGTGTGTGTGCAATATATATACAAATATATAAGTTTGTGTATATATATATAAATATATAAATATAAACACACACATACACAAACTATTTCATTACTTTAGGTAGAGCCCTACCCTGTTTCTGTGCCCGGTTTTGCCTGGAGCCAGAGCCACTTGACTCTCCAGGAATGACAGTGAAGGTTGAAAACAGAACCAAGGACAGCCGAAGTTTCTGTTCCTCCTTACCCAGGTCCTGACTGCTGAGTCGCAAATCAGAGCCTGGGAGCTGCATGGCAGCAACCAGGGGAGAAGTAGCTCTGTGCACTGCATGTTGTTCCTATCTGAACCTGAAACATGAGCCAGGATGACAACTCCCACTCCCTTGGGGAAACAGCATAGCATCTTCCAGCATCCTTAAGAATTCTACCACAAATCCCTGAACAGATCAAAAACCAAGCCCTCGCTGCTTTACCTGCCTCTGGGAGGAACCTCCTGATGCCTTGCTTCCCTGACTGCAATCTGAATCTTCAGTGGTAGGGCAGGCATTTAGCCTAGCCATTAAGATGTCAGTTAAGGTGCCAGTATCAGAGTCTGGGTTCAATACCCAGCTGCAGCTCCTGAGTCCAGCTTCCTGCTGATGGAGACTCTGGGAGGCAGTGAGTGATGGCTCAAGTAATTTGGCTCCTGCCACCCACATGGGAGACCTGCTGTGGGCACTCAGGAGTGAGCCAGCATGTGGGACCATGTCTCTTTCTCTGGGTGTCTGTCTCTCTTTCTCTGCTTCTCCAATAAATAAACTTTGAAAATAAAACAAAATAGAATCTTTAATGGTAACATGCAGGATAAAGTGTTTCAAGTCATTTGTGGTGTGGTTCCAACCTGTCTTTCTGACTTTACTCTTGGTTACGCAAAACCTTGCTCAAGTAAGATCTGTTTTCTGTCTCTGCTACAGGTCATGTACTTCCCACCTACCACTCTGCCCACATACAAGAATAGCTGCCTCTCCTCTCCTCTAACTATCTAGATAATCCCCCCTTTAAGGAAAAGCCTAAACTTCACATTTTCAAATGAAGGTCTTGATTTCTTCAGGCATCTCTCTTTGCAGTTGCATTTGTCCACCAATTCCATCTCATTTCTTTGGTTAGATTGTAAAGGGCTGCATCTTATGCTTATGTGTAGCCCACACATTGCTTGGAACTGAAAGCAACTGACTCACACTTTCACTGAGAAGCTCTGGACGCAAAGGAGTGATCCTGACCACAGGCCTCAAGTTGCTAAGAGGCGCTGCCCTCACCTGGACAGCATCTGGCCTGGCAGACTGAGGCACAGGTCAGCAGCCTCATGACTGGCTTTTCATGTGGGGAGCAGACTGGCTCCTGCTACAGCACCCCCTTTCCTAGCCCTTGAGACTGAACAGATCATAATTAACCAGGGTTACTCGCACTGAAAACTAGGCTCCGTGTCCCCACCTGCTTTCCTTACTCACCTGCAGCCTTGTCCAAGACACAGTAGTCAGGGGAGTTGTCGAAGTAGACAAGATCAGTCCGGGTGGCACGGCGATAGCCTTGGCGGGCTGCTGTGAAGTTGGCACCGTCCTGGGTGGCTGTCACCTGCACAGCCCCATCGTAGCGCCGTCGCAAGTAATCACCTGTGCGACGGAAGTCTGAGAGTGCACGCCAGCAGGTGCGCAGAGTACAGGAGCCACTCACGCCGTGGCACTTGCACTCCAGCTTCAGAAACCGCCGCACAGCCTGGAGGAGGGCAGGAGGCAGGTGAGAGGCAGCTAGTCAGCGCACTTTGCTGTCATCCCTGAGATCTGCTGCCCTAGCCCACTGGATGGGCCCTGGTTCTTCTCTCCCACATCAGATCCCACCCATTTGTACCTCTTAAAGCTAAAGAACCTCTTCTAGGAAGTCTCCTAGACCAAAGTACTTTCCTTTTCATAGCAGCCTGTTGGACTTTAGAGCCACAGGATTCTGGGATTCTGCGTGTGATTACAGTGTGCTTGCATATCCTCTAGTTTTCACATGCTTGAGAGCACCAAGCTACCATGACTTCTACTTTTGCGGTGTACCATTTTCTGCTCGGAGCTAGAAACTTAGGAGGTCTCAAATGCCAGTGAACTGACGAGAACAAACTCCAAAGCTCTCAGTCTGTATGAAGACAGTTCTTGTCCTTCTCAAAAAGTTGCTTCCCTTCTTTTTTTTTTTTTTTTTTTTTAATTATATTTATTTGAAAGGCAGTAAGAGAGAGAGCGAGATCTTCCATTCACTGGTTCACTCCCTAAATGCCTACAACAGCCAGGGTGGGGCCAGGCCAAAGCCAGGAGCTCAGAACTTATCTAGGTCTCCCATGTGGGCAGCAGGGACTCAAGTACTTGAGCCATCATCTGCTTCTCAGACACATTATTAGGAAGCTGGATTGGAAGCAGAGTAGCCAAGATTCAAAGCAGGCACACCAGTATGGAATGTGGGTGTCACAAGTGGTGGCTTAACCCACTGCACCACAATGCCCGCCCCATTACTTCCTTTCTCTTCTCCACCTCTCCCTATTTTCTATCCCTGTGACGACCATGCACCTAGTTGAAGCAAGTTCCTTGCATTTAATGCTCCTGTCCCAGGATGCTGTAGCTTTTGGAAGTGACCTAGAAGCCTTCAGCTCCTTCATCTTCACATTTAGTCCACGATCATCCACATCGGTCACCCCCAGCAAGTATGAATGTACACAAACACACACGAGTACTGACCGTGCGCCCACAGCGGTTGTTATGTAAGTTCATGAGGGCCCGGGCATCCTTCAGCCTCTTCTCCTTGGCATCCACGAAGGCCTTGGCAAAGCGGACGCCATAGTGGATGTTGTCACTGCAGCCACCCCAGTCAAAGTCCCCACGTTGGTCGTGGTGTCGGCCACGCGTGTAGGGGTCACAGCTGCATACACTCAGTTCACCCTGGCTACAGGCTCGAGTGATGGCATGGACCACCCCTGCGGATGAGATGGCATATACAAAAGCTGCCTCCCGGCTACCTAGAGAGAGAAAGGTAGGTGTGAGTTTCAGGAAAGAGGCTGTGTCTGTCCCTCTCTTTAGCACACACAGCCTGTGGCCCTGTAACCTCCTCTCCTGTCCTCTTCTTTCCCAGAGCCACCCGCCATGTCCCTTTTATTCAGGGTGCCCTTCCCTTCTAAGCGCATTCCCTTGTACACCTGAGCTCCTCTCCTCAGCCCTCACTGTTCTCTCTCTGCCTCGTTGTACTTCTGACTGTTGGGTTGACCCATGCACTCTTGTCTCCTTCCAAATTCCCCAGGTCTAACCTTTGAGAGGTCTCATGGTGAATCATCCCCTCCCACCAGTACCAGCACTGGTGCAGCTAAGCCTGCCTTAGTCCACATTCCATGGCTTTTCAGGCCCTCTCTGCTGGACAGTTCCCCCACAGTGGGGACCCCAACCCATGGGTCAGGCTGTCTGGAGAGACTTCCCTCTGTCCTCATTCCCTCCTGCTCTCAGGGACTGAAGAGTCATCAGCCCTGTGCCCCTGACCCTTCCCGATTCCCAACTCATCCCCTTTCTCCTAGTTTACTGTCTAGCTCTGCTCAGCTTTTCTGCTGAGCTGGGGCCAAGACACTAACTCTCCGACTATTTACATATCACCTTTCTATTTATCGCTTGTTCCCATTACTGTAGTGTCCAGGGTGTCAGCATGATGGTGGAGTGATGGTGGTAGAAGAACAGAGGCTCTGTTTCTAGTCCTCAGCCTTCGAGTACATGGACGCCCCCTAGGCTAGGGGCTGGCTAGGGAACAGCAGGGACATGAGGAAGGCTTGAGGTGCTAAGGGATGCTTTACCTCTGTCCCATCATCCCAGAGCACTGGGGTTTAGAGGATTCTAAATCCTACGAATCTAAGGTACTGAGGTTCTGTTCCCAGCTGGATCCCGGCCTCTGCCTACCATTGTTTCTCTGATTAAGAAGTCGTGTGTACTGGGAGGGGGATCATTCCTGCCCTTCCCACTCACCGCCCCAAGCACAGAAAGGGAAGGATCTGGGCAGGGTGGAAGAGGCCCCTACTTCTGAGCATGACACGACCAAAGACAGTGTGGTCCCGGTCCAGTGTGGTGCAGTTCCAGCGGTGGTGGCGGAACTGGTGCTGACACTCTCGGATCCATTCCCGGGCACCTTCGCCCACCGAGCGCATGATGTCTGGGTAACGCTGGCACAGCTGCCGCTGCCGGCTCACCAAACCAGGGATATTGTCACAGATCACTCGGGCCCCCAGTGCCCCGATGTACCTGCAAGGTGGAGACGGCCCTGTCAGAGCATCCTGGCCCTTCCTCTGCACCAGGAGGGGGAGGTCTGCATCGGGACCTTGGAGAAAGCCCTTCCCTGCCCCTCCCCCACTCCCCCTGGGGCTCATGGGTGGCACCACTCCCCACAGCTCTGCAGAAACAGTCACGCAGTCACAGAGAAAGTGATGGCGTGCACTCCCACCGTCACCAGTTCCCCAGCTGGAGGCCAAAGTGAAACACACTCCCAGAACATAGGCCAAGCATGTGTCACACACACAGAAGCTGTGGGCATGTCACACAACCCCGTCTCTGTTTATTTAATAAACATTAACAGCCTTGTGGATAAATAAACTACCAAAACGAGGGTCTGAGACAACACTCTTCCACCCACATGTTAAGAAGCACGTCCTGCGTGCCTGGTCCAGAGACAGCGGGCAGTTTTGAGTCATGATTATAGCTCCAGTCAGACTCACGGAACTGGGAAATCCTCCTCCCCAGTCCTAGAGTCTGCGGAAGAAGACTCCACTCCTAACTCTCCTCCCATACTCTATTTCCAGGCCCCAAGGCCTTCCTAAGCCAAATCATCTTCCCCAGCCTGCAAGGCACAAAGTGTCCTGGGTGGCAGAGGGCTATTTGGCCGAGACAGAGTAGTATGGGGTGACTCTCCCCATACCCCAGGCCCCAGACTGCCCAACAGGAACAATTGTAAAGATCCACCGAGGTGGGCTCCTAAAGCATAGGTGGATTGCCAGTCACTCTCAAGTTTCTCCAGGCCATATTTTTCCTTCTTTCAGACACCCTTAGCCCCGGGCTCCACCGCAAGTCTCAGGAAGAACATTTCAGAGAGAAAATAGGAGGTCTGTAAGAGGCCCCTGAATGAACTGCGAGCCATTCACTCACTCCTTCCAGCTCAGCAGCCCAGCTCCACTTCTCACTCCCTTTCTAGCTCGGCAACCCCAGAGCAGAATTTTCTGTTTTCCTGTCCAAAACACATCAAATGGACACCCTTTTCTGAACAGGTGGGGGCCATGGGGAGCAGTCACTGCTGATGACAGAGAGCTTTGGTCAGAGCTATGAATGAGCCTGTGGTTTGGGACTGGCCCCAGAATGGGCCTAGATGTGGGTGAGGAGAAGGGAGGGTAGCCACTAGCGGAGAGGGAGAAAGCTAGACTTTCCTGGACCCGTGTCCTCCTCCTCACCCCCTGAACCCCATTGCATTCCCACAGCGGCCCTCACCCACAGACTGGATCACCACTGGTGACACCAACTCAAACAAACACAAGGAGGGCTGATGCTTGCCTCTTCGGGAATTCACAGGGCTGATGGGGCCCATCTGTCCCCGGGGGAGGGGAGTGAGGGCTGGCCCTCTGCTCACAAATCCCATGGAATCAGCATCCCCAGCACTGTCCATCAGGGCAACAGCTTCCAGGAACAAACAAAATAAACACCCCAGCCTGGGCCAGGCCGGAAAGGGCTGCCTGACGCACAGCCCAGAGTTACACCCACTGCCGTGGTGCTTTGTTTGGAGAATCAAGACAGTTGGAGTTGGAGTTGGTCCCTGTCTCACCACTGTTCTGCTTCCCCAGTTCAGCCCCACAGTACTGCTCTAAGCAATGGGTTTTTGTTTTTTGTTTTTTGGGTTTTTTTTGTTTGTTTTGTTTTGTTTTTTACTGGGGCTTGGGAGGAGGGGCGTTGGATGGGAATGAGAGACCAATAATCCAGCCCTCATGAGACAGTCTGGAGTGGGGCAGGCCAAACTCTGGCAAAAAGTCCTTCTTGCGGTCTGACTTAAAGCTATTCTGCTGCAGCCCACATTGGTCCTTTTTGTTACGTCCTCACTGAGCGTGGGAACATCTGTTCCGTATCTGAGAGGGGAAGATAATGAAGTTTCTCTGCTACCACCCTTACCACACTAAGTAGCCACTTCAAGACTGCAGAGTGTGGCACTCGCCAGCTGTCCAGTAGTGCGCCCCTTGGAGTTGGTGCAGGGGCCTTCAGGAAAGCTGACCCCAAGATTGAGCTCCTCTCCCTTGAAGCTCAGCACCTGCCTGGATATCGTCTGCTGTGTGTGAGGCACTGAGCTCAGCTGCTGTGGGCACAGAGATGTTTAAGCACGTGCATGCACACACACACACACACACACAACCACGATCTGGGAGAAGGTGCCCAGCGCAGCTTCCTGCCACAAATTGCTATCTCTTCACCTGCTTTTGACCAACTCCTGTTCCTTCCCTGGACAAAGAGACTCACAGCCTACTCCAGCCTCTTGCTACTCAAAGTATAGTTCCCTAGAACAGCAGTATCTGTAACAAATGGGGATCTGTTACAAATGCAAACGCCAGGCCTCTGATAGGAATCTGTATTTCACCAAGACCCCAAAGTGATTCGGAGGGAGGCCTTGCAGCATGAAGGCAGGGACCCCGGTTTGTTCACTTCAGTATCCGCACTATTACTGGGCACTGTAACTGTTTGTGGAATAAACACCTGACTGCTCTGATCTAGCCCCGGAGTGAGCTGTAACCTTCAGTTACAGCTTTACTTCAGTCAGCTTTGGCAGCTATACACAGATGGTTTGTGTTTGTGTCCTTTTTTGTCTTAAAATTTTGAGAGAGAGAGAGAGAGAGAGAGAGAGAGAAATCTGCTACCTGCTGGTTCACTCCCCAGCTGAGCCATGCTGCAGCTGGGGGCCAGGAACTCAATCTAGGTCTCCTGTGTGGGTGTTAGGGATCCCACCAATTGAGCCATTGCCTGCTGCCTCCCAGGGTACACGTTAGCAGGAGGCTGGAATTGGGAACGGAGCCAGGACTTAAACCCACACACTCCAGTATGGGATGTGGGTGTCAGAATCAGCCTCTTACCCACTACACCCAAAGCCTGCCCCTGCTTGTGTCCTGTTAATGAGGTCAGCATCCTTTTTTTCTCCCCTCTTTTGTGTACAGCACCTAGTATGCATGGTTGAGCCCAGGACATAAAGAACTTTGAACATGGGGATAAAAAAAAACTATTAATCTCCCTGAATCTTCTCTTAATACCACAGCACCTGTACACTACTTTATGGTTAACAAAACACTTTTCTGCACACAAATCCTATGGGAGGGGGTTCCTCTATTTTAAAAGCAAAAAACTGAGGTTCAGGGAGATTGAATGATAGCACCCCACTTTGTCCATCAAGGCTAGCCGGAGGAGAACCAGGACGAACCAAGGCCACTCGACTCCAATGTCCAAGCTCATTGTCAATCTAGGGGCAAGAGAGGCACACAGTGCTTACCTAGGAGACAGCCAAGCAACCTCTAAATTGGTGTGAACTTGAGCAAGGTTCTCACCACCGCTCTCCTGTCTCTTGCTGTCTTCATTTGTGAAATGGGGAGAATAATATCTACCACACTGGGTCCTTCGGGGGATGGAAGACGCGGATGTTCAGAAGGTGCTTGGCCGTAGTGCCTGTAGCTCGGTAAAAGCTCATTAGATGGCAGCTGTTGTTGGCGACAGTAACGCTAACCTGCTGTCGCTTTAGGTTTCCCCTCTCTTGGGACTGCCACATCCAACCCCCTGCAAAATGGAACAGGGAGGTGCATGGCGGGAGCCCCACGTCTGGTTCTGTCTGTCACAGACTAAGTAGGATCTGTTTCCTCCTCCAGTTATGGTAAAGAGAGGGGGTGAGCAGATGGAGAGTGAGGGGCAGAATCTCAGGCTACGAGGAAGATCTCACTCTATCAGCCTGCTCCGCAGTGGCACAGCCTGCAGGCATGTCTTCCTGGGTATCTCACTGAATTTTTCCCTAAGGGGAACAGGGATAACCACCTTGAGGGCCTGGCCTGCCTTTAGAAGGCAGCTTCTCACCTCTCCCACCTGGGTCTGCAGCTGTGACAATGTGGGCCAAGGCCACTGCAACAAGCTGTGTGTCCACTCCCCATCCTGGCCCTGCCGCTGCCTCCCTCCATCCCACGGGGACTGCTAAGTCTTGTCTCTCACCGGCCTCCCTCTCTAGCTCCTCCACCTAGGGGTTTTCCGAAATCTCCAATATGAACCACGTGGGGGGAGGGTAGCAGAAGGAAGGAAGGAAGGAGTAGTCAAGGTACAAAACGGGGATGAGGAAGAGCCCCCCTCGGGTCTTTGGGCACTGCTACCAGGATGCCGAAATGACCAGAATGCACTGCCGCCCTCACCTAGGCATCAGTCGGTCCCCAGACAGTTTCGAAGGAAGTCAGCGTCCCTAAAAGCAAAGTGCCACCTGGGCCAAAAAACATGAGCAGTGAGCACCTCTCCAGTTCCGGCCAACGGCCCAGGAAGGTAAAGGGGGGCTTGTGACCTCACTGCACTTCCCTGCCGCTTCCCTTTCTCTTTCTAAAGGAATGTTTCAAGCCAGATGTAAGATATAGGCCTCCCGCCTCCCCCATCCAGAACCCCCCTCCTGGCCTTCCCCAACACTGCAGAGATAAAAAAGATCCAAAAGAGAGATTTTTCTGAAACAGGAAAACAGGGGGTGGGTGGGGGGTGGGGATGAAGAGAGACGCATCTTGAAATGATAGGAATCCGCAGCCCAAGCTGGCTGGCCCCTCAGCCAGCTACCCCTCACCCTTCCAGCCAAGATTCCGAGTCAAGAGGAGAAAAGCCACAGGGTGCAAGAGCAGAGGAGACCACACTTCGCGGCGGGGGTGTTGGCTGCGCGGCGGGTTGGGGGGAGCAGAGGCAGGAAGGGAGGGGGCACCGCGCGCGGTAGGGCCGGGCGATAGCCCCAGCCAAGAGGCCAATTTGGGTGGGTGGGGGGTGAAGAAGAAAGATGGAGAGTCTCCCAGTCCCCCCTCCCCCAGGTGAGGGAGGAGGGAGAGCAGCTTCCCCGCTCCCCCCAGAAGAGGATGCGCACCATCCAGGGCTGAGAGACTTTGGCGGGGTCGGGGGGTGGGGGCGGGGGTCTGAAACGCACAGGCAGCAGGCGTCTCGGCTGCCCTCCTGCAAAGTGTCTGGCGTCTCGGGCCTGCACGAAATCTGAGGAGAGACGGTTTCCTAGTGCTTGGGGACCCCACAAGCCTCTGGTCTTGGAGGCGGGAGATGGGAGGGAGATGGGGTCATCTGAGGAAGGAAACAAGGCAGGCGGGAGGGCAATCTCCAGGCTCCAAGAGAATCCTCAAGGCAGAGGTGGAAGACAAGTGCCCAGATGATACAAATCCAATAATTGCAGGAGTTAATGGGGGTTAGCTTCCGCCTCCATTTCATTGCTAGCCTGGCACTGGCCGCTGCCTCGCAGAAGCCCGCCGGCATTGCCGCCGTGGGGTGGGCGCGGTGGACCAGCGAGCCAGCCAGCCGCCCCTCTCTCCCCGTCCTCGGGGCGACCTCGGCCGTGATGGCCCTGTCGAACAACAGCCACCGCGGGGCCCGGGAGGGCAGGGGCTTCCTTGAACCCAGGCTGAGAGAAACTCGAAGGGGAGTTGCCGCCCAGCGTCGGAGGCTTGAGCTGGAGTAAAGGGGGTACGGCATCTGGGGACCCAGGGAGCTCCCACCACCGGCATCCTCGCAGCGAACGCCCGGCGCCCTCCTCACAAGGCGGCTGGACGTGGCGTCCCGGCCCCTGGCCGCACCGGCCTTAGCTCCGTCAAAACAACCACCTACTGCCCCGAGCAGCCGGTGCCTGGAGCTGTGTGTCCCCTCCAGGCGCCTCCGGCCTCCTGGACCCCGCAACTCACCCGCCCAGCCCTGAGAGCCGCACTCACCACCAAGACGAATCGACGCGGGCTGGCAGCGTCAACAGCAGCAGCAGCAGCAGGCAGGCAAGACCTAGGCGGGCCGAAGCCGGGGAGCCGTCGGGGGCCGCGGGTCTGGGCGCGGGGGCAGGGGCAGGGGCAGGGGCAGGGGCGCGGGCGCGCCGAGGGGGGAGCTGCGCGGCTTCCTCTGCACCACCCGGCCTCAGCATAGCTCCCCGAAGACTCCGGCCACGCAGCCCGGAGGGGCGTGGACGGGACACCGTCTGGGGCTGGGGGCGGAACTCAGGCTGCTCCTACCTCACCCCCCTGGGGGGCCATGGAGGTCGCCGGCGGCTGGGAACCTAGGGTCATCTGGAGTCCGGGAACCAGGGCGCAGGGTCCCCGAGAGGGGCGCAAGTTGCCGTGTCCTGAAACCGACGACGGCGCGCCGTGCCCGGGGTCTGGAGCGCGCTGCCCAAGCACGAGGTGCAGTGTCAGGGGGGTGTCTGAGGCGCGGAGTGGAGCTGCGGGCCGAGTGTGCAGACTGCCCCTTCGGCCGCGGGCTCTCATTGGACGGCGCGGGGCGGGGCCGAGGCCGGGGGACACGCGCGGCCTTCAGGGCGGCTCCGCCCGCGCCAGCCCCGGGCGCTCCGCTGCGCCCTAGGTGAAGCGGCCGCCTCCGCCCCTCGGTGCTCCCGCGCGCCCCAGCGCCGCACCCCCACCTGCTCGGGCTGGTGCGACGGGGCGCTGCGACACCCTCCTGCGCCCCGAGCGCCCAGTCCGCGCCGCAGCCGCGCCACCGGGTCCTAGCGCCCTTCATTCGGCCACCCTGGCGTCTGTGGACGATGGCCAAGCGCGCGGAGTGGGAGGGGGCTGCCGACACTTTCCCCTGGCCCCTAACGCACAGTGACACTGGAGCTGAGCAAGGGGGGGGGGGAGATGCACTCATTTCCCCGGGTCCCCGGCTTTCCATTCTTGCTTCTGTGAAATGGGTAGAATCTCTGCCACCCGGAGTTGCGGGAGTGTCTTAAATCTCTACTACCTACCCGGACACCTTGGGCAGCCGGCTTCAGGTAGGGGATTCTGTCACCTAGGGCTCAGCGCCCCTACTTCTTCCGACCCATTTCGCGCGTATATTCCCACCCTGCCCACGTTCGGACTGGACTCGCGCGCCCGCCAGCCGCGGCCCGGGGCTTTCCTGGGCTGGAACTAGGCATGGATGGCCCATGCAGGGACGGCACACCTGCCCAGCGGCCGCGCACCACCCGGCCGCCCTCACGGCCCAGGCGCTGCCTGGCTCCGTCTGCCCCAGTTCCCCCAGGGCCTCGGTCTCCCACCCCCTCGGGCGGGGCTGTGAGCCTGAAAGAATCAGAAACAGCTGGGCGGCTCTCCCGCACCAGAGGCCGGGGTGGGGGTCCTGCTCAGAGAGGGGAAGCCCTGGGGCCTTTTCGCTTCTTTGCCTTCCACCCTGCCTCCTCGCGGCTACCTCTCCTCCCTCTTCCCCTGCGCGCGGCCCTGGCGGCGCGGGGAAGTCGGGGAGCGCTGGGGAGGTGCGGTCGGCTGAGAGCGAGAACTCCCGCTCCTCCCGCCGAGGCTGGCAGGTAGAGACCCTGGGGGTGGACCCTTACTGAGAGGTACATGTTACTCGTAACACCCTTGGGGCTTCCAGCTTCAAGAGTTTGTCTGGGGCCCGGCCTCAACCCGATCTTCAGCCTCAGTTTGTCCCACTAGACCGGCTCATTCCCAGGCGTCTTTCATGCTGTCCCTGTGATCTGTCTGAGCTATGAACTCCTGCTGTAAACATCAGGCTGGTAACTGCCCACCCCGCCTCCACCCGGACCTACTGTCAGCCCTTGGTTGTTGGGGAGAGTGTGAGGGACAGGGCACAGCTGGCGTGTTGAAGGCCGCTGGGGAGAAGCGGTCAGAGGGGCCTTATTCCCTGTCCCCACCTCCCGCAGCTTCACCCCTGCTTTGTGTGATGAGAAGCTGAGTGCACCCATCCTGCAAATACTTGTCTTTATTCTGTGTCCCATGTCAGGACTGTGCTGGGCGCCAAGGATGTTGATCAGCAAACACAGCAAAGTGCACATTTCTGCCCTCGTGGAGTTTCCGTTCTCTTAGGGGACACACAGTCAATATCAGAAGTGAAACGCATCGTATGTTAGAAAGGGCTAAGCACAGACGGAACACACTGAGCAGGGGGCGGGGGCTGGACCCCAGTTGGAACTAAGGTGATGGGGTAGGCTTCACTCAGCAAAGACTGGGAGGAGACGAGCAAACACACCAGGCAGATTCTTGGTGGTGGGCACCCCAAGCAGAGGGAAGAGCCGGTGCAGAAGGCCTGCAGGCAGGACTGGGCTCCGCGTGCAGTGGATGGCGAGGGGGCCAGCCAGCGGAACAAAGTGAGCTGGCAAGGAGAAGCTTCAGAAAGATAACAAACTGGGCCAAGTGGTGGTGGAGGGGAGAAAGTGCCCTTTGCGGGGGGGGGGGGGGGGGGGTGTGAGTGGAAAGTGGGGGCTGGGCAGGATTTGGATGGGAGTGGGAGAGGGTTGCATGCAGAGACCACCACACAGGGCCGGCATGCCGGCTAGCCCTCCTGGCCCAGCCACTGGCTCCGTCCCCTCCCTCTCTCCTTCAGTCTGGTAGGCTGTAATTGGGTCTGCTGTGTTCTCAGAAAGGCACAAACTCTGTGGAGTGTCCCCAAGAGGGGCAGGTGGGAGAGGAGTGGGCCCAGGCTCATCCCTGGCCTGGCCCATTTTCTCAGACCACTCTTTCACCTCCTCCCAGCCCAGCCCTAAACTAGGTCTTGGGCTCCAGCAGCCTCTCCCAGACTCCCCTGTGTGTTAGACCTGGGTGTGACTCTGGCCCTGTGTTTGTTTCTACATATGGGCTTGGGGTTGTAGGGTGGGGAGCTGGAGATGATTACATCTCTCCTAACCTTGGGTGGACTCGTGCACATGGCCCCAAACTCACTTCTGAGGCCCCTTCTTTGGCTTCAGCTGTCTTCATAGTTAAGTGGGACCGTGTCTTGGCACAACATAGATACTCAACTATTAAAGCATGTTTCTGAGCTGTGGGGGCCCTCAGAAACACCACCAGTTCTGAGAGGGAGGGAAGGAGGTGAGGGGACAAGATTCTCCCCAAGGCCGACAAGCCACTTCTGCCCCAGGATGGGGCTTTGCTCCTTCTTCCCCTCCCCCGCTGAGTCCCCAGCTCCCCAGGAGGAACCCCAGGCTGCAGGAGCCAGCTGACTGCAAGAGCTGCACTCAACCACTTAACTAGAGAACAAATAAGGAGCCAGAGAAGAGGTTTTCTGGGATCTGCCACTTTGGAGCTTCAAATCTCAAAATAAACTTCCAGTCTCAAGGTCCTAGACACTGCTGGAGCACTCAGCTCCTCACGCAAAGGCATGCTTGGGGCTTCCAGGCGGAGGGTGAAGGCCAGAGACTCGGGCTAGCCCCTGACCTGCGCCTCCTTCTAGCCTCACCCCCCACTCTGGGTTATGGGAGCCAAGGGGAGGAGTCACTGATCTGAGAGGCAAGTTCTGGTCCGGAGGGCCCTGCACAGAGTCAAGGCAGCACTCGGCGAGCACCTGCTGTGTGCCCAATATTGCCAGGGCATCCCAAGTAACTCCGAAGGAGGAAAGAGTCCTGCCAAGGCCTTTCCATGTCAATAGTAGAACGCCATCTGCGGGAGGCACACCAGGCTCCGCCAGGGCTCAGGGCTGCACACGCGGGATATCTTGAGTGGCAGCGACAACAGAGACCCGAGGGAGAATCCCAGCCCCCACCTACCCTGCTCCTCCTTAAGGCCACCACATTCCCCGGGGCCTCCCACAGGGGCACTTTTGCCAGGCCAGCAAAGCCAGCTCTTCCTTCTTCATCACCGTGGCACCACAGTGACAAAGGAGAGGGGGCTTCCCTTATCCTTGGTGCCTCACCTCCTTCTCTTAACCGCTCAGACTTAAGATTCATCCTCTACTTCTATTCTCAGCTGTGCGCGGCTGAATGATTTTGGCTTTTCACTGGACCTTGCATGGGAGTGCAGATGAGCTAAGGGGAGCTTGGGTGTGGGTAAACAGCTCTTACTCCACCCTGGTCTATCCCCCGCAAGGCCCCCCTTCCCCAGGCCCCTTTGGCGGTGACCTTCTCTTTCCCCGTGGGTGGGTAGTGTGGATGGTAATGAGCAGAGAGAAGGGCCAAGAAGGGGCTGGGGGGGAGGCTTGGATGGGAGTCAAGGAATTCCTGAGCCTGCTACTTGCACAAGGGGCCCTGAGACGCCTTTCCTGAGATTGCTTTGCAAACCAAGGCAGATTGCATTTGAAATGGGGCCAGGTTCACACCAGCCCCCGGTGCCCCTCCTCCTGCCCTGCTGCCCCATGCAGGTGTCTGGGAAAGAGAAGGGAGCTTGGGAAAAACTCGGGGGCCTTGGGGGGGTGTTGTGAGGTGGGGTTCCATGCTGTGCACACAGCCTGGCAGGCCTCTCCTTGGTATTTATGAGCTCCCACCCGGGAGGCATGGGACGTGTCTCCAGGAGGCCAGGCCAAGTGGGCTTCGGAGGGAAGGGGGCTTGATGATGCAGGACCCCCTTCCTCCCAGCTAGTGGCTGAACAGGGAGCGCAAACTGCTCCTCCAGGAGACCAGGAAGTAAGGAAGAGAGCTGTAAGGGAGAAGGGGAAAGGAGAAGAGGCTTGGGAAGCAGGACCGTGAGGTCTGGAGACGTTCAGCCCAGGTTCTGTGTGAGGTCAGTGGGTTGTGCTGCTGGGATCCTGGGTGGCCACTGACCAGCCTATCCCCAAGGGAGGGTCCTCACTTGGCCCCCAGCCCTCCTTTCCCAATCGGCCTGTATCAGATAGGCTAAAAACAGCTCTCTTTCTCTTCCCACCACCTGTTCTGGGCCCCGGAAGGATCTGGCAGAGTGATTTGCCTCCAATGGATAACAATATGCACAGCCCACTACCTGCCTGCCTCCCGCTCTGCTTTCCCCTGCTCACTCAGCCTCCTCTTGTTCTTTTTCCCTTCAAGCCTCTTCCCTGTGCCTCCATCTTCCTGGTCTCTCGCTCTGGCTCCTGTTCCTCCCATTCCGTATCTGGGCCTCTCTCTGTGTGTCTCCCTGTCTTTGTGTGTCTCGGTGTATCTCCCTGTCCCTGGCTTTCTGACGCCCTGGCTCTCATCTACCTCCCAGGGTGCCGGTGTCAATCTGTCTCTCCCTTTCTGTCTGTGTGAATCTGTGCAACTCTTTGTCTTGCTCTTCTTTCACTCCCTGCAGCCATGTCTGTCTTCTCTGACTCTCCGTGGGTTTCTGGGTCTGCGCCTCTGTGTGCATGCATGTGCACACACACACACACACACACCTGTCTGCATTTCCATTGGTATGTATCTCTTTTTTGCTGTTGTGCTCTTACACCTTCCCTTTGCTACTCCTGCAGTACAGTGCAAAGTGCACTGGGCCGGGGGTGGGGGGACCAGAAAACTCGATCATCCTGCTCCCCCCAGCCATGCCCTATTTGTCTGACTCTAACTCACTTTCTCACTTCGGTCTTCAGTTTCCCCACTGGTGAAAAATAGCAGGGTGGAGACCTAGTTCCCTCTGTGGGAGGCTCTTTCTGCCTTTATCGCTCTTGTCTCTTGTAGCACAGCCCTCCCTGTTGTTCCCATGGGCCCCTGCTTCACTCCCTAAATCTGACCCTGAAGTCAGGACTCATGCTTCCTAAGGA